ACATAGCTTCCCTTGCACACACAGACCCCTTTCATGATGAATAATATGAACTGAAGAAATCACGTCAAGGGTGCTGAATTAGAAAAAGGCAAAACTGGGGGGGGGGATTGTGAGGTCATCTTTCTCATCTCTATACGGAGTCAGATCAGCTACTTTCCAGATGTCTCACATGCTAAGAATCTGTCACAGATGAATAGTTGAAAATCTGCTAGAGTGACCCTGGCATGATCACCCTGACCACAGCATGCAGAACTGACATGTAGCTCCTCAGGTAGATATGCCCCTTCTTTGTGCCATGCTATAGTTTGTTTTTCTTTTATTATCTTTCTCTGTCTCTGTCTCTGTCTCTGTCTCTGTCTCTGTCTCTGTCTCTCTCTCTCTCTCTCTCTCTCTCTGTGTGTGTGTGTGTGTGTGTGTGTGTGTGTGTGTTCTCATATATGTGAGCACATGTGTATATGCAGGTGCATTGGGGGCCTGAAATTAATATCAAAATACCTTTCTTGGCCATGCTCAGCTCTCTTATTGAGCCTAGTGCTTGCCATCCTGGCTAACTTAACTAACCAGCTTGCTCCAGGGATCCCCAGACTCTGCCTCTCAAGTGCTGTGATTATGGGTGGCTTTTCAACTGTTACATAGCTCCTGGGGATCCGAACACTGGTCCTCAAACTTTTGCAGCAATCTCCCCAGCCCCAAGGTATTTTCCCCTTTCTTTCTTATATAGTCTTCTCTATCTTTTTAGACTGAAGAATTTCTAAAGAAATTTCCACTTGTAGTCATATTAGTAGCCAGTGGCAGAATGATCCTGGTCCCTTCTATCTGCACAGGCTGGTATGGCTTCACCGTGGTGGGTGTAAGGATACAGGTTTCCTCCTGATTCTGCGGATGTTTTCTGATGGCAGCAGGTTCTTGGCCATTGCTTTAACATGCACTGTCTGTAGTACACAGCCAGCAGTGATTTTTCAGTTCTCTCATGGGTTGACAAATAGATGGCCTACAGTCTCATGATGGTCATCTGGGAACTTTCCCCTGGTACTGATAAGGATCCTTCTGCCCTCTTTCTCCTGCTTTGGGCAAGCTTACAGGAATGCCTGTCCTGTTTGCCTATCATGACCTGTAAGATCTCAGAGCCCTGGCAATTTCACTTTTCATTTCTCTGTCCTATTACTTACAAAACTGTAAAATTGCATCAGTGATAACAAAGATTCCTGAGGGAATTCCAGCAGCCACTAGAAAAGAAAAGGTGAAGCCCAGACTTAGATGATCTATAACCTAAACAAAAAAATCCCTTAAAAATTAAGATTGGTACAATTCTAGAAAAACCCTGGATCTGGAATTTGCCTCTGGTTTTTCTCTTCTAAGGAGAGGAGAGGCTTGGTTCCCTGTGAAGATAACCTTCCCCAACAGGCACAGCATGATGGTTCTGACCCTGTGGTGTGCTGGCACCAGAGATGGTTCCAGCAAAGGAACACTGGAGATACTCAGACTCTAGAAAACCCCTTATGACTCTGCTTCCTAAACAGTTGCCCACTAACCTTAATGCAACTGCAATGTGCAAAAAAAAAAAAGTGCCAGAAATGCAGAGGACCTCCTCCATAGACATAGAAGTGTCTAAACGTTCACATAAAGGCAAGTGCATTTGCATTGGTGCTAACAAGGAGTGAAGGAACAGATATCACAATTTCAAGCAAATTCTGGGACTTATTTAAAATATGGCTGTCAGGACTGGAAAGACAGCTCATCAGTTAAGAGACCTTGCTGCTCTTCATGGAACTTGAGTTAGATTCCTAGCACCCATGTAGCTCACAGAGTGCTGTAACTCCAGTTGCAGGGCATCTGGTGCCCTCTTCCAGCTCCATGAGTACCCTCATGCATGCAGCATACACTTACACACATACACATAAATAAAAACAAATCCCTATCTTTGCCTATACCAACTTTAATGTGCATGAGCGTAAGACTGACAAAGAAAACGGGCACCCTATTCTGGGGGGTGGTGGTGGTGTGAATTTGTACAACTGCCTCAGAATTGCACTTTTCATTACCATTAGTACTAGTAAAAGAGTGGAGACAAGTGGAATATCTGCTGTGAAGGGACTGGCCAAAAACCAATGGCCTATCCAAGCAGAGATTCACTGCCCAATCTGAAGAAAGAACAAGCAAGCCATATGAATCTAGAGAGAGAGATCCGCAAGGTAACCATCAGTTTGACAATAAGGTGTGAAGGAATGTTTGCACTACACTACGGTTTGTGTGAAAGGGTGAAAGAAAGCTGGGGATGAGATATGCTAAGACATCAGAAGTTTTGACCTATTCTCCATGGAAGTGACAATTGAAATTGAAATTCAGTTGAACAGTTTGCTTGTCATTACATGGAGAAGTTGAACATTGTAAATGGATAAACATTGGCTGCATTTTATGAGGCTGGGTTTGTGTTAACTAGGAGGCAAGGAAGAGATTTTTATTAAACCATGAGTAAGTTCTATGAATTTTTTTTAAAGATCACTAAAATTGTAAATCAACACATGTGGCTGAGGGGTCTAAATTTCCTCATCTTGCTACATAAGGAAACAGAAATATCCTTTTTCTATGCCAAAAGCCACTAGACATCTTAGCTGTTTCATTTCTCCTACCACATTTTTTTCATAAAATTCCAAAAACTACATTGAGATACTGTATTCAAAAATAAAGTTCTAAAGCATATAAAGTTGGATCCAAGAATGTAGAGACATAGTGTTTCCTCCTGGTGACTATAGCCTCTGAGACAAGTACATTGAAAGTTGCAGTGGGGCCAGTTAGGTAGTCATCAGGTGTCTTAGGTAGGGTTTCTATTGCTGTGAAGAGACACCATGACCATAGCAACTCTTGTAAAGTAAAACATTTAATTGAGGTGGCAGCTTAGCGCTTCAGAAGTTTAGTCCATTATCATCATGGCAGCAGACAGACTTGGTGCTGGAGAAGTAGCTGAGAGTCCTACATCTTGCTGGCAGCAGGAAGCGAACTAAGTATCACACTGAGTGAAGCTTGAGCAAAAGAGACCTCAAAGCCCGCCCCCACAGTGACATACTTCCTCCAACAAGACCACAGCTGCTCCCCAAGGCCATACCTCCTAATGGTGCCACTCCTTTTGGGAGCCAATTTTTCTTTTAAACCACCACAGCCCGTAGAGACTCTTTCTGCCAAATATGATGACCCAGGTTTGATCTCTGGAACTCACATGGGAGAAGGAAACAAATGTTTTCTACAAGCTGTCCTCTGACCTTCACACGTGCACCATGGCATGTGACACACAGCACCCACAATCAATCACTTAATCAAACAGCCAATAAATAAATAAATGTAAATTAAATAAAAAACACAAAAGAGGAACCCTGAAGAATGGAAACATTGAACCAGACATGAATATACATGTAAAAGCCAATGACTGAACCTCTGCTCCTATTTCACAGAATGCTGGTTGTAATGGAAACATTGTAAAGCATTTCCTTAACTACTCAGTATCCGGGTTGGAATGTCCAATAGGACCAAGGTAGCATGTGGCTTCACCTTTAGCTAGTGTTTGTGTGTAAAGTTAGTTAAATTTTATGAATTGAAGATTTCAGATGAATTCCATGTGTCAGGAAAGCAAGTGGTGCCCAGCCAGACACCAGAATGTCCAGGGTGGTGTTTGTGCCCTGTTAATGAATGTGAGTTTTCAACATGGTGGCAGCAGCTCCTTTAGCAAATGGTAAAGATTCTGCAGTTTTGTTTCTGCAAAGAATTCAGTGGAGGCAACTTGTATATTTTGAGAAGAGTAGAGGAAACGACCTTTTCCATTTCAAACTTTATACAATTGTTTCAAGGTGCGGGATACTCTTAGAGTATTATCTGCTCAAGGGTCACTCCTATAGAGTCAGGCCCGAGGGATGTTCCGAGGAAGTGCACTGCAGGGATGTCTACAATCAACACCTGCCACACAACTCTTTCTTGAAATATAGGTACCAGGGTGTAGATGCCCTGAAGTTTTGCTACAGCCATAAGAACTTGTATTCATTGGACAAATGTATAAGTACAAATTTTCATATCCTAAAGCCAGGAAGATCAAGGAAACACCGGAGCAATTTGTCTAGTGCGGTGTGTGATCTTTCCCCGCTCTCTGAAAGCAGTGTCAGCTATCTAAGATGTTTCGTGCGTGCCCTTCCCCATGCTGTTCTGCGTAGGGAAAGCTTGTTCTGACCTGCTTTGCAGGTCTCCTGGGACAGTCCCTGTGCTTTAGAACGCTCTGCTCAGCTTCACTTAATTAAAATGATCACTCTTTAAATGAACCTAAGGTCAAAGTGAACCCTGTCTCCCTGTGACTGCAGGATTTAGGCCGCTGCTTCCTGTCCTGCAGAGTGGGATGACCTGAGAGCACAAGGTCACCTCTAACTGGTGCTTTCCTGCTGCAAACCCCATACAGCTCTCTTAGCCACCTCCTCAATTCATTCCCATCACCACTCCTTGAAGTGAACATTCAAATGTTGTTTTACCCCTTTAACCAGTGAGGAGTTGAGACTCAAAGAAATGTACAAAGCAGCCTGCTTGACTGGTAAAAGCAGCCCATCCCTGGAATGAATGCAGGAAAGGGGTTAACAGTGAGAGCAGGCCGAGTGCAGCAACTTTGTGCCACCTTAGGAAGAATGTCTGGAAATCTGAAGAAATGGAATGTGATGGTCCATTTGTGTCCAGGTGGACATCCCTGTGCAGACCTTCAGGGGTCTTTAGTGAATTTCCCAGGGCAGAGTTTTAAACAACATTTGATTTCATCGAAAAGCTCTAAACACCTTGGTTCTCTTGAAGGAGGTAAAAGAGACTTTGGGACATGTAGGGATAATTTTACACATTGACCAGTATTACCCAAGCTGGAGCATGCCCTTGCCTCACAGTCTCATGGAATGTTGTTGTCTCCTGCTCTCTTCAGTTACTATATATACTTTTTTTTTTAACATCTGAAAATTAATTTAGGCCTTTTCTTTCATTAATAGCCCACCGTTGCTGCCAAGAAGCCAGATGCAAATTGCGTTGACGTGAGCTGTTCAAACTCAACATCCACCAAACTCCTTTCTGCTGAACTCAAAGCAGAACCCGAGAAAAGCTCCGGGACTACGAACCAGGCGACTAAGAGCACCGTGAAATCCTCTACCTTGTTGCGAGGCAAGAAAAAGCTCTAAGGCTCTGTTCAGTGCTGCACAGTGCAAGAAAAGACCACTCCTCCAGCACTGAAGGGAGGGAACAGGAGGGGGACAGCATGGCACAGAGCTTTTAGCCTTTGGTTCTGCTGAGTCCTGCATGGGTTACACCAGTTTAAAATTGAAGCTAGTTACCAAAGCAGCATACATAACCTGCACGGGGCACTAAAGGACAGCATGGCATGCTTGGGGCAGGCAGCTCCAGGTGCTCCAGGGTTAAGGGACAAGTGCTCTCAGTGCAAGCCTGGGGCCATACGTGCTCAGTTCTACTCAAATTCTTATATTTAGGCCCAGTTATTTATAAGGGAAAACAAGAGGCCAAATATAGTGATGGAGGTTCTAAATGATCATGTGCACTTAGCACTAGGAGACTTCGTTAGATGATTACTAATAAAATGGCCACAGGCATTGTGGCAGAAGCGATGCAGTCCCTCACGTGTCCTTGTTGTTCTAGTTGCTATAGATTATTTAAGACAAGTTATTTTAAACATAGAAAAGTAGGACATTTTGTAATTGCTTGCATTGGCTTGCTGCTATACTTCTATCGTATTGATTAAACCAATAAGCCCAGATGTCTTCATGCATGTCATTTTATGTTAAGGAGAGGTGTGACAGCTAATGCTGGCCTGTTGTCTCTGGGGAAGGACTGAGACTCGACAGGAAATGTGTCATGAGCTGGTGTTGGGGGTTCTCTTTCCTCCGAGGTTAACAACTCTGCCACTACAGGTTAAGTAAGGTAAGCTTCCCAAACAAAATTTAAAAAAGCAATTTGAATTTGTTTATCTTTATAAAGTAATAACCTTGTTTCATTCCAAACCCCACAGGATTGTCAGATTGTCTCCAAAAGAACCACACACATAATCTGACCCAGAAGCTAAAAGAGGTGTGAGCACCTCCTGTTAGGAGTTCACAAGGTACCACAGTGGTCAGTCAGGTCAGAGATCACACTGCCATTCTACCCTTTGTCTTAGTTCCTTTTCTATTGCTGTGGAAGATACCACAACCAAGGCAACTTATAGAAGAAAGTTTATTTGAAGCTTTGGGTTTTGGAGGGTTAGAGAAAAGGCCTGGTGGCAAGAACAGCTGAGAGCTACATCTTGATCTACAAGTAGGAGACAGAGAAAGAGCACACACATACACACAATTAATTAATTAATGTTTAAAAAGCCAAATTGTGGCCTGGCATGATGGCGCGCGCCTTTAACCCCAGCACTCAGGAGGCAGAGACTGGCAGATCTCTGTGATTTTGAGGCCAGCCTGGTCTACAGAGTAAGTTACAGGATAGCCAGGGCTACACCAAGAGAGACCCTGTCTCAAACAAACAAACAAATAAAAATAAAATAAAATAAAATAAAATAAAATAAAACCCAACAAACATAATGAAGTGGAAAACAATTGAAAAAGACACCCAATGTCATCCTCGGGTCTACACATGCTCTCATGCACGTGTGTACCAGCACACATGTGCATATATACACACTCATGACCGAATGCACCACACACCAGATCATACACAGTGAAAAGAAAAGAGAAAGCTAATTTGGGAGTTGACTCAGCTTCTTCAAGCGCTTTGCTTCGGGGTGGGGTGGGGGTTATATTTGTAGTCCTTCAGGAGCCCATGTACCATCTCCTGAGCTTGTAGCCTTTGAGGAACAGACTTTGTCCACCTGTGGAGGACCCTGGCGGCACAGCTCAGGGGAGGACTCTTCCTGGGGGATTCTCTAGGAAGTAGATGGCTATGCTGCACATCTTCCCCTGTGAGAAGAACTGGGTGTGTGTGGGGGGGCTCTCTAGAGGGCCAGCTGTTGGTCTCCCTTTAGAAAAGAGCAACTTTGATTCTGCCTGGTGTGTTTGTATCTTTTCCTATCATACATCAGATGAGGCTGGGGTCCTTCCTGTTGTAGCATACATTCTGTCAGCATCTGACTCACATGGAGCATTTAGATAAGAGTTCAGCTCTGTCTTTGGAGAGAGTGTGTGCATTCTATTTATCTGTTTGCATGGAAGGAAGCCATGTAGAACAGATGGTCTCTGATCTTGGTCTCCAACTGCTGGACCTGTCCCGTGTCTGAGCTCCATGGCCTTCTTGTCTTCGTTTGCCTCCACAGCTGTGGAAAAGCAGTTCTTCATGTCCTGCGGGCTTTCTATGACCAGTAGGCCACCTCTCAGAACCAACATCAACCTCTCTGACATATACTGGCCCCATGGCATGGAGAACCATGCCATTTGGCTGTCACCTGGCAGGACACCCTCTGCCTAGAACAGTACAGAGCAAGTGTGATTTCCAAGAGAGCAGATACTGACCAACACTTCCACTTTAATGGCATGTAAGGGATGAAGACTAGCAGAGAGGAATGCAGGCCTGGAGCTGGGGACAGGCAGCTGAGAATGGAAGCTACTGTCAGAGAAGAGACCTTAGGAGAGGAAAGAGAGGGACACAAGGGAAAGCATGTCGTCTCTGGAACCAGATGACAGCACATGGCTGTGTCAAGCCCAGAAGCAGATGTCAGAGGTAGGAACACTGCTCAAGGACAGTGCATCCTTTGGGACAGGTGAAATCGGATGAGGCCCTTTACAGTCTGTTCATAAGCAAAACCAGACAGGCCAAAGAGACAAAGAGCAGGCAAACAGAAGCTGAGAGAAACTGGGATTTTAAGAGCTAGCCACAGAATGGGCCTAGGTTTCTTATTAGAAATGTTGGGAGGGGGTAGCAGATTGAAAAAAAAAGCACTATGTGCTTATCATAGAAATACTTTGTTTAAATAATTCTATTTGACTCTAAAATGTAAGTTCCAGGTTGGACAGACCAAAGCCAGTCAGTCTTGAAAATGAAGCTTTTTAAATTCCAGCCCTGCTGCTGGAACAGACAATAAAGGCTTTGTTCAAACAGGTATTCCCAGCAGGAAGCCTGGCTTTGAAATTGGCCAGAGAAGTTGTGTCTTATAAAGGCTGCACTTGGCTGGAGGCCAAGAAGCTGTGGCCTATGGGAAATGACCCTGGGCTGGTGCTGCAGTTTTAATATGAAATATTCCACAAGTGACAAGTGTTTGAACCTTCAGTCCTCAGCTGGTGGTACTGTTTGTTGTAGCACCTTTAGGGGGTTTTGTAGCCTTGCTGGAAGAAGTGAGTCATTTGGGGCGGGTCTTGAAGTCTTATAACTTGGACCCACTTCCTGTTCACTCTCTGCTCCCTGGCTGCATATACAGGGTGTCTAGCCAGCCTCCCTCCCCAGCCATGTGTCTTCCCTTGCTCTGTAGTATGTCTTTTCTTGAGCTGTAGGCCAGAAGCCAGAATAAACCTTCTCTTCCTTTCTTATCAGGTATTTTGTCACTAACCAGTTGGATGTCCTCTACCTGCCCTTCCAAAATGTCCTTGCTTTGCCATCTCCGCTGACCTTCAGGGACAGCAGTGTTGGGTTCCCCTGGCCCCTGGATTGCTTGCGATTCTCTCAGTAGAGGTGTCAATAGATCAGAGGGTGGTTGGAGATCCAGACATTGGATCTTCCATAACCCCTGCCTATGTCCCTCCTTTGGGGCTTTGTCTGAATCTCTTTTGATGTTCCAGGCCCCTCCTGGCACTCTCTTACAGGAGTGCTGCTGGTAGGTGCCTTGAGGGCGAGGCCAGTGCCATGAACTGGAAACTGCAACTCGCTCAGTCCCTTCATATACCAATTCTTTCTCCAGCAGTCTCCTTCCCATTCTAGTGTACTTTCGCCTTCTGTGACTCAATGTGACCCACACTCTGGCCTTGGTCACCCCTCAGTAGTCTTGACCTAGGACAGTTTGTCCCTGGTTGCCAGGCTCCTACCAAATTACAGGAAAGTGAGAAACACAAAGCCCAAATGAGTTCTTCCTGAAGACACAATGTACCTGGGTGGCCACAGCGGCGGGGTGCTCTTGTTGGAGCTGGAACCAGGCCAGTGAATCTGAGGTCTAAAATGGCCTAGATGCTAGTTTCTGTAAGTGCACATATATATATGTTCTCACACACACACACACACACACAGAGAGAGAGAGAGAGAGAGAGAGAGGGGAGAGGGGGGGAGAGAGAGAGCTCATGGATGGGCACTGCCTACAGAGAGACTCCAGGAGACCTGCAGTGAGATGGAAGCCTGGGCTGGGCTTCACCACCTCTCCCTTTCTCCAAGCACTAAAATCCCCTTACAAAGGCCTTTTAAACTAAAACGCCACCATTCAAAGGCCTCACATAATTCAGCTTTCCTCTTCAGAATCATATTTTTTCTGAGCGAGCCAGTTTTGAACTGATTTTGATTTCCGTGCCGCGTATTGTTACCACTTAATTCTCGTTGGTGAGCCAATTTTCTTTGCCTTTGTTCTTCAAAGGAAAGCCACATTGAGTGGCTGTCTTGCATTTGTGTGTGACTTGCTATGCCAGTTCTTTGCATTTCCCTAAGTTACCAGTGCAGCCCTCCGGGAGAAGAGGCAAGGTGGGTGCTCCCACCTCTGTCTGATGGTCAGACTCACTCTGAACAACAGCACAAAGCAGAAAGTAGGATACTAGGAAGATGAATAGCTCCATCACCCAGCCCCTTCCCCTTTTTTGGCACCATGCTGCCCAGAGCTATACCAAATATATAAGCTAGATGCAGGGGCAAAGGGTGAAGTCCTCAGAGGTCCTCCTCCTCCAAACACAATAGGTTCTGTCCTGGCCCTGAGGGTGGGCCTCGGGGCAACCAACTGTCAGTATGGACATCTCCCCTTGTGATGGTTAACCATGCTAACTTGGGGAAGGAACAGTGGTTAAGGGCCACAGTTAAGGTGGGTCTTCATGCTTGCTAGCCTAATCTAGACAATCCTCACAGGTGTCCCCAGAGCTGTTCCCCTAGGAGATTCCAGATTCTGTCAAGTTGACAACCAATATTAACCCTCACACTTATCATCAGTCACCTGCAAAATGGGAGCCATGGTGGTACCTACTTCCTGGAATTGTTTAATAAGAGTATTAAATGAGTAAATTGTAAG